GAAAAAGAAAGAAAGTCAATTATCCTAAAAGTGAATTCTCTTTGGAAAATACAGTGCACCACACATGTCAGTCTAGAAATCCACTATCTGATAAACAGTTGAAATGCAAAAATAGGCTTGATTCTTGGTTATTTTTACTCTCGTTCTGAGTGTACTTCTTTTTCTTAGCCTGGCTATCTTGTTTGTTTTACTTGTTCTTCACCTTTTAAAGAGAAGCATGACATAGGAAAGTGGATTTATTTTTCTTCTTCTTTTTTTAGAATTCATGGATCAATCTGATCTATTTATTAATAATGGAACATGTAAATATAGTGAGAACTGTTTTTCAGGAGATGAGTGTGGGTTGGAGGGAAAGAAGGTGGTTCTACTTGTGTTCCAAAATCCTCATTAGAGAAGGTATCACATTCTTCAGGGAGTACCTGAGGGTGTGGGAAGTATCTTCTAGCTGATGGAGAGGCTTAACCAGTTTAACAAAAAAGATAAAAAGAAGGAAGGGGCATAACAATTACTGGTTTCCCAGACTGGATTTTTCTTTTACAACTGTTCATGTTCTCAGAGTTGTTCACAGAGTTGATGAAGGACCACCTTTGTGTATAAAAGTGTCGTTTCAACCTTGCAGGAGTAACAAAGCAACCTACTTTTTCCGGGTAGTATTCAAGATGGCTGTATCTTCAGTTGTATGATAAAATTAACGGTTCACATGACTGTGTGGCATCTAAAAATAATATCTGTTTTTACAGCATCTCTCTGCCACTAATTTGTTGACTTGAATTTTGAAAAACAAGTTGGTGTTGATATGTATATGTGTGTGTGTATATATGTATTTATAGACAAGTGTGAGTGACATGTGAGTTATATAGTCTTCCCCTACGCATGTGTATTCCACACATACATGGCTGAGTTATAGTCACTAAACAATTTGCAATAAAAACAAAAGATTCATTGTCAGTAAAAACAGGAATTAAGTTTTTTAATGAATCTGCTCTTATGGTGAATAAACTCTTTAAGAACTCTCATAGCTATATTAACTTAGTCTAATATTTAATGGTACCATAATTTGTGTCTAAATTCAGATTGGGATAGAAATCACTCAAGTTGTGGGGTGTTGCTTCTTATTTCACACGTAATAGGAAACATTTCTATTAATTCAGCTACCTAAAATGAATAGTTTTCTGTATTTTTTTGTTTTTATGACGTCATTAGTGGCCTCAAAATTCTGATCAATAATTTTGTGTATGATGCTGAATTCCAAACACTTTGATCCAGTTGAAAACCCATCCCTCTCCTTTCTTCAGCCCAGTTTTGGGGATGGTGAGTTTCCCTCAGTGTCCTGCATTATGCCAACCTAAGGGAAGAACAGGTAATAGGGAGAAAGAAATGTCTGTCTAGTGGCTTTGGTCATGTCTCCACAAGGAGAAATGAACCATTCGATTGTCTTTTGATTTTAGTTCATTCCACTCTAAGGAGTTTGTTTCTTTCTGTTGACTTTCCAAAGTGTTGCCTGAGTGGTAGCTATCATTCTGTTGGTCTCATGGTTGATACTAGTCAATCAGACGTTCTTGATCTGTACTAGTTACTGGTATAGTCATGCACTGCACTGTCCTAAGTTAAAAAAAGAAGTGCATAGTCATTTCATCTGGTTTTTCCTTAGCCTACCCTCACTTCCCTGCCCATGCCAATGTTGACATGCTGTCTGCGGACACATTGTGGTTCTCAGAGTCTTTTCAGCAAGCTATCACCGTCCCCTTGCCGTGGTCTTTCATAATAGTTTTGCATAGGATTGTGTTTCTGTACAGTACTCTGTGTGTAGGTGTGGGTGGGTGGGTGTATGCACACCCACCCACCCACGCACACATCTTTGATAAAATAGCTGTTTGACTTAGGGTTGAAGTGGCTTTTAATCATTTTGTGGGCATTATTGGACACATCTTTTTAAAACAGTCTGAACCTTAACCATAACCACACTTGGTTGACTAATTTATTTTGAGCATTAAAATTTTTCTTCTGTTAACTTAGACATTATCACATTTCTGTATCATTACTGACTTAGGAAAGATTGCACTTAAGCTTCTGTTAAATGTGATTTTTTGGCAGATTTTTCTTAGAGTCAAATGTCTGAAATTGAATGAAAATATATATCCCAATTTTAAATGAACTAATTGTGGAAAGAACATTTTTAGATAGTTCCAAGTTTAAATACATAAGACACTTCAAGATCTTCAGGACTTTAAAGCACATTTAAAATTATTTTAGTAAGAATTTTGTTTTATCAATACGTGTTGAATTGTTTTTTAATTAAAAAAAAAAAACCACAAAGCTTGGATTTCAGAAAGAGGGAGGGAGAATAGCTGGTGGTCCCAGAGTGCGCTGCTGTTAATTGTTTAATTAACAAAGGGGAAATGTATATAAACAGATATAAAAGTTACCATAAATTCCATGAACTTAAATCTGTGATTCATTGCCTTAAAACTTTCTCTCTTAGAATTTCCATACCGCATGCCAAACCAGTAAAATGGCTTTTAAAAATGTATAGTAGACCAATGTCAGTTTGTATAAAAGTACCAAGTGAAAATATTTATTACATGCATTGGAAAAAAATTGTTTACCTATTGAATGTTACCTGTTTATGTAGAGCTCTTTAGATGTAATAAAAGAAAAGCCTTCAGTTAATTTGTCTTCTGTAAAATATACTGTGGGTACCCTATGAGAAAAATGATAATGCTTTTGTGCTTCCAAAGCACCTTTCATCCAGAGATTTCAAAGCATGGCAATTAACTAATTCTCTTGCAACATGCTTTGAGGTAAGTAATGCATATATGGCCATCATTCCCCTTTCTTACTGAAACATGGTAAGCTTTGTACTGAACCATAGCATCTGTTTAATTTTAAATTAATCTGTTTAGTAATCTGAAGTTGGAGTGCTAAGAACGGTGGCCTTTTTGTAAACAACACTAGGTGCTAGGTAAACCAACTGGAATTTCAGGAATGAACAAGAAACCTGGACGTGGGGTTAGTATATAAAGCCTTTCCTGGGGGAGAGGTTTACATCAGAACCTGTCACAGGATCTTAGAATCCTAGCCACTGAACACCCTTAATTAGGAACACTGAGTCAGCGGAGATGAGCCCCAGGTTCTAATGACCACTCCACACCACTTAGGTGTTTTTGGCAAGCTATACTTCAGATTCCTTTTAGGCAAATTAGATTAATAAGACTTGCTTTAAAACCATCCTGGGACCATTTAGTGACAGTTTAAAAAGCTTTGAGGGAAAGTACCCTTGTTTGTTTATTCTAGCCCAGAACTTCCTTTTCCTGTCCCATCTAACTCCTAGGTATCTACTGTCTCATCCGTGGTATTCCAGAGCAGCTGTGCAGGACTTGCTTCCTAATGTCCATGATGAGAAAAAAAGAGATGTGGGGCCACGCTCCTTGAGCCTTGCCTGAAAGTGAAATATAGTGGTTCTTTATGGGGTGCCAGAGGCACCTTCAGGTAATGAAGTTTAAGCACCAGTGCCTGCCCCCTAGCCCTACTACTTTGGCCTCTGCGAGAGTCCTGGGAATAGCCTAGCAATTCTGTATTTCTATTCATGTGTTCTTGGAAGAAGGCCATCACATAGTAGAAGCCTCAGACCGCACAAAACCTGGGTGTGCCCCCACATCCTGCAGCCTCCCCCAGCTAGACAGTCACAACTTCACCTGCTTGGGGTCTGGACCATCTACTGCCTGCCCCCACTGAGACCCTTCTACAGCTCCTAGGAATTCCCAGTCGCCCCCTCTGGCAGTTACACTGCTGGGAAAATGAAAGTCTCCTCTCTGAGGACCTTGGTTAGGTCTGAAGCCACAGCATCAGGAGATAGTCGTAGAAAGGCCAGGACTGATCTGTCCCTCGTGGTTCCCCTCACGCCTAGCCCTAGATTTGTGTTTTCTGTTTCCCAAGAGACCCACCTCCCTCTTAATTTGGTTTTCTTTTGCTTGAGCCACTAAGGCGCCATTAAACAAAGCCACAGCCCAGAGTGCCCAATTTTGATACATATAAGGATGAAAATCTCCGTGCTCAGAGCTCTGGCCTGCCCCTGCTCAACATGCCGGTGTGTGACTGACTCCAGCCCTTTTTAGGGCTGTGCTGACACTACCAGTGGTTCCACAAATTTGTTGAGCATACAGGGAGCACCAGCCTGGCACCTCCTGGCTACATAACTCACTTAAAAATCCGCTCCAGCTGGAAGAGGTCCCGGCAGGCCTCTTGCTATATCGTGGCCATGGCCTGTTACATCCCTTTATTACTTTCCATTAGTCTTGGGGGCAAATGGCTTGAAGCCATGATCAATTTGGCCCACTTGAGCAGACCATCGTGGTGCCGTGACCCTCTGTGATAACAGTAGAGCTTGAAATTCAGACGGAGCTCCTCAAGATCTGCGAGGCTCTGATGAATGCAACATGTCACATCTGGTGTCCTATGGTGTGGGCTGTAAAGTCGGATCACTCTTCCTGCTGTTTGGCTGATGCTACTTGTTTTAACGTGACTGTTTTCACTCCATACTCTGTGTTTATGAATGAATATCCTGAAAGATGTCACTATGTGTTGTGTTGGGAATCAGAATTTGTCAGTGGTCCTGTGATGCTGCCAGAAATGTTAACCATGTTCTTCGTTTGTTTTAGCTCTTTGCTTGATGCTAGTTCTCCGCTAGCACTGGCTTTACCTTGGAAATGTGGAAGACGGTTCCAGCACCCAAATACAGAATAGTGACTTTTGGTAGACTGCACTTTTTAGGAGACATGCCACTTCGGTAACTCAGGATTGCATGGTGCTCTACAGTTTGCTACGGCGTTTCCAAGTCATTGTCTCAGACCACCCTCAATAGGCTCTGTGAGGTAAGAAGTAGCGATCCAACTTAAGTTCAAGGATCCGACAAGGCTTTGAGGGGTCAAATGACTTAGCCACCCAGGCCCAACTCCAAACCATATGCTCTTTCGATGCTATAAAGGGCTGGACTAATGATAGTTGTTAAAATCAATACAAATCTTTTATTAAAGACATGCTAATGCCATGGCTGAAATCATTTCATGCCACTCTTAAGTTTTACCCTGCGCTGCAATCAGGTCATGTCATCTTGCTGCTGTGTTTACCATCCACCCCCTGCCCCCCCAGTGAAATGAACGCTTTTTTTTCTTTTTAAAAAACACTTCTCAGTCTGAGTTTTCAGGCCCAGGGGAGGTGTTCTCTCACGTTTTCTTCATTCAGTGGTCCCACACAGGAATGGTGATCTTGTGGATAAATTCATCATACTTCACTTTGCCATTTGGTTCTATATTTGCTTCCTTGAAAAGATCATCCACTGCAATAAATCACATTAATTTTTCAGTTTGGCTGTAGTGTTATTGTATAGGACATCACGTTAGCTTTTGGGGGGTGGGGCTCCCCAGAGGTCTTCCCTTGTGTCCAATGGACCGTTCCTGTAGGCCAGGAAATAAACCAGTGAACAGAACAGGACAAGCCACCCCCTGCCCCTGAAGACCACTGATTGAATTTTGAGTTATTCAGGCTTTCTGCAGGGGCATGGGTAAAGGGTATGGAGGTGTGCCAGTGACCAGTAAGTCACTGAAGCCACCTTGTGCTTGCTTGCTTCTTTGTCTTTGGTTTTTTGGTTTTGTTTTGTGTTTTAAGAAAGGATCTGACCCCCGTGCCTGTATTTCCAGAAACATCTGGTATTAGGTATGGATGTTACCTTCTGCAGCCCACCCTCTCAGCCTCCCGGCAGAACAGACATTCTCAGCAGCCCCGTCCTGGGCCACCCTGCCCCATAGCTTTGGCCTGCCCCAGCCTGCCTGTCTTCCCTTCCTAATGGGCATGCCCCACCCCAAGAGGAGACTTGGTGACAAGTGGTGTCTGCCACCATCACCTCTTTTTTAAAATGTGTATGTTTAGGGGGTGGGGGTATCATGAGAGAAAATAAACTCAACTGTGTCTAAAAGCTCAAAGTGTACAAAACTGTTATTGTTCTCTGACATTGCTCCCCCCCCCCCAAAAAAAAATCACTTCATTTACTTCTGGATTCTTCGGACAAAATACTAGCTTGTTCCAGATGTTGGCAAGAGAAGACCATTTTGGCTTCCATTTCTCCACAGTGGCCTCTTGGGGCCAACCTGCTTTTGGATCTTTGGGCCCATCCTCATCCCCTTGCAAAAACTGTTTCACTGCCCTGTGTCAACTTCCTTGGCGCTGGATGCCCCGACACATAATTCTGGGCAGTTGGAAAGTATCCTGTGCTTCTCTGCTTAACCATCCATCGTCCTCTAAAATGTAATTACTATGCTCTGTGCCTAAGCTGATGGTAGTTCTGAGTATTTTTAGAATGTTGAGGAGACTGTAATTTATCTTATTTCATGGAGAAGCTTCTACCCATCAGCCATTTGGTTCAACCCTTTCCAGTGGTCAGGTCCAACACCACCTGCAGCATCGAGTCCTGTAGCCCCCTCCTGCCCAGAAGAGGGGCTGCGCTTCAGGGCCAAGTACTGACCACTGCTTCTGGGTAGAGCGGCAGTCCACCCGGAACCCATAAAGACCCAGGGTGCTGACATCAGCCTGTCCCAGGCCTCCACAGCAGCCTTCTCCAGCTGTTCGGAGGAGGCTTCATAGTAAAACTGAAGCTTTTCTTTCAGTCACCCAGGGTAAAAGATTCCTACTTCTAGTATCATCTTTCCTCTCTCCCCCAGCAAGGGGAAGGGAAATGGGTCTTCCTGCCTGTCTGAAACACATTACCAGTTTGTTTGAAATGTTTCTTCCCTGGTTAAACAAACAAGAGCTGTGTGCGAGTCTGGGGGCCATGGTATTGCTTTAGACAGAGATCATTAACCAGAAGAATGCAGGCCCCAGCTGGGCCTCCGCTGCCAACACTCCACCTGGAACATAAAAGGCCGGACAGTGTCCTCAGAGCCTGAGAGGGAAGGAGAGCCCATGCTTCCCCCCGTTCACATGAACACAGCCACAGCGAAGAATGAGATCACGGTCGCTGCCAGCCTGAAAATGCAGGGAAAGCTCAATGTGCCGTCTGTAGCGCTATTTTTAAATGCTTTGCGTTGTGCCTTAGTGACTGCAGATAAAATCTAAGTAGAGTGCTTCACAGAATGTTAGCTCTTGGAGGGACCTGGGGGATTGTCTATTGTAACGTCGTTTCCCAACCAGGAAACCAAGGAAGGTGAGAGGAGAGGGTGAGAGTGGTTAAGAAACTCCTCTGAGGGCCCCCAGAAGGAGGGGGAGCCCAGGGGTCACATCTAGTTCAAGCCACTGATCTGTTGAGATCCAACCAAAGGCTAAAGGGCCACCATTACTGAAAGCCTTTCCCTCCTGCCTCGTGTGTCCTAGCCCTGTGCTCCCGTCTCCAACCACAGATGGACCCAGTAGCTTAACTGGAAATGCCAGCCTCTGGCCTCGGACCTGGGACAGCTGCTGTGATGGGGACGAGGGGCGAGGCTGGAAGAAAGGCAGCTGACAGCCCAGCACGGGGGGTCACTTCCTCCAAGGTCCCCAGGGTGTGGGCCAGAAGCCCCTTGTCCCTCATCCGGTCCCTCATCCTGCTCCGAGGCAGCAAGACAGACAGGCCTGCTGGAAGCTGTGAGGCAAAGGCCACTGCACATGCTCCTTCTGCAAGAGCTCTTAGAACTGGCTGAGTCATGAGAAGAGGGGGCAAAGTAGCATCTCAGTTTGGAAATTTGGCATCAGCAACAACCTCAGAAGACAGCTTTGGCAAGAGGAAAGAGCGAGGGGGCGTATGTGTGTCTAATAGACTTGCATTCAAGCCCCAGGTCTGCCAGCCGTTCCTGTCACCTGTTTGTCCCTATATGGGGAACACTGGCGCCCCAAGGGGTCTTGTGAGCATAAATGAAAGCCCAAGGAGATCCTAGCTGTCTCTCCACAGGCCTTCTCTTCACCCTGGTGGACTTCCTCTGTCACTCTGGCCCCTAGTTCTTCCGGCGGCCACCTAGCGAGACATCTAGGCACAGCCCCCTGGGGCAAGCATCACATGCAGTGTCTGCACGGTCCTGCCGGCAGGGATCAGGCTTTGGTGTCCTTCCCCCAGCTCCCCCCTCCTCCCCCACTGCTGGGAAAGAGGGACCCAGGCCTTTACCTTCCTTGTGGGTGAGTTTCTCCCCTAGTTTCATGAGTTTGGACCGCAGCTCGGATGCCATGATGTAGCCTTTCTTCTCCTTGTCTGCCATCAACATGGCCAAGAGAATTTCTTTCTTTGGATCCTCTTGTTTTATTTGCATGTGCATAATGGTCAGGAAAGTGGAGAAATCCAGCTCCCCATCTCTATCTGGGAAACCCCCAAACACAGCAGAGTGAGCAGGGAGGGAAAGGCTCATCCTGAAGAAGCTAAATGGCACCCCCCCGGCCCAAGTCCTCATGGGCTGCTCAATGGCCCCCTAATTCAGGAGGTGCCACGATGGAGAAAATGTCCTAAGGAGGAGGCAGGCCCGCCCACTGAGCCCCCACCATGGATCTGCCTCCCTAATCCTTTCAATAATCCTCAGTGACCAAGATTACCATCGTCCCATCTTGCCCACTAAGGAGATGGAGGCCCCAGAGTGTGCAGTCACTTCACAGAGCCGTGGCAGGACCAGGGTGGGGCCCACGTCCTCTGCTCCCTTCCAGGTGCTTCCCTCTGGCCCTGGACTAGAGGGAAGTACTCTGTGCATCCATCGCTCCTCGGTGGCCACTGCAGCATATCCACAAGGAGGGACAGATGACCCCGCCTGACGCCTCAAGCCCCAGTCCCACCTGCCCTGCCCCTCCCTGCGGCCTCTGCCCTAGTCTCCCCAGCCCCCGCCCCTCCTTGAAGCATGCCTGGGGGCCTCACCAGCTACAACTGCAGGAAATCAGAGCTTCCCCTGACCACAACTTCCTGTTTGGAGGAGACAGAAGCCAAAGGAAACCACCACCCCTTCAGAGCTGGGAACAGGGTCTCTCAGTCACCGAGCACCCCATCACCCAGCTCCAGATCTTCAGAGGCTCGCCCCCTGATGGGCTCCCAGCGCTGCCGTGGGTACTTCCTGATGGGACCTGAGAGTAACCCTAGCCGATGGTGCAAGCCCATCTGCAAGAGGAGGAGGCGAGGTCCAGACACTGAGAAGTAGCCTCTGGGCTCCAGATCAAGTGCTCTTTCCAGTCTACTTCCTTCCTCTGGGCCAGTCTTTCCTTCCTGTGTGTCCAGCTACCAATGCAAACATCCACCCGGCCTCTTGACACCTCTCTGTTTGGTTTTTCTTATTTTTGTTTTTTATTTATTTTATTTTATTTATTTATTTATTATTATTTTTGTTTTTTAAAAATATAAAGCTTGTTCCTGGCTATGAAAGCCCTAGATGTTCCCATTGTCAAACATACAAGGAACAACAATAAAGGGAATGAAAATCATCCCTAATTGCATCACCAGAGACAACAATTTGGTAGGGTCTTGTGTGGGTTTCCTTCTACCTTTTTTCTCGGGTGTTGCATCATTTTTAGGAGGTCAGTCTTTGAAAAAAGAATCAGGTCCCAACCCTGACGCCACCATCGGCTTAAGAACTTGGGCAAGTTACCTAATGGCTCTGAACCTTGATCCTTAAACCTGTAAAACAGTAGGATGGTGCCTCCTTCCCCAAGCTGTTTGAGCTCAGCATGTGACAGATACTCAGTGAAGGGAAACTGTCCCATCATAACACCTGGGATCCCTGTGAGCACTGTCTCTGCTGCAGGCTTGTGATAACCGTGACAGATTGCCTAGATCCTGTGGTTCTCTGTGACAGAGGGGGATGTCGCCGGTTGCTGTGGGGATTCGAGGAAGCCTGAGGGATACACAGATGTCTCCATAGCTGCCCCCAAATGTCTGAGCTCCTCACGCCCCCACAACCCGTACCTGCCTGCTGGGCCCCACCCCAGGACCACAGCCACAGGTGGCCGCCCACGTGGCCATCCCCTCCAGCGCCGCCTCTGGCCCAGCCCACTCACCGATCTTGTGACTCTGCAGGTGGCGCTGCACCTCCCCTGGCGTTGGGCTGGCCCCCAAGCACCTCATCACCACCAGGAGGTCAGTGGCTTTTATCCTGCCGCGCTGCTCCTTGTCGTACAGGGAGAAGCACTCCTTGTACTCTGCGCACAGCGGGGAAAGAAGGGTTAGCGGCGCCAGCTGCTCCCCTCCCAGGCCCCGGGCCTTCTCTGCCCTCGCCCCCTTCCCTTTCCCTTCTCTGCCTCTGCCTTTTGCTGACTCTTCTCCCCTCTAAGAGTTGCCAGACAACAGCAAAGAAAAATACAGGGCTGCCAGGTTAAGCTGAATCTCAGATAAACCAGGAGGACATCTTTAGTATAAGTATATCCCACGTTTTGCATGGGATATACTTATCCTAAAAAGCTTTTGTGGCTAATCTGAAACCCAACTTTTGCTGGGTGGCCTGTGCTTTATCTGGCAACCCTGTCCCCTCCCCCTCCTGACTTCCCTTCTGCTTCCTCCCTCTGGCCCCCTTCCTGCTCAAGCCCCTCCCTTCCTTCTGTTTTCTTTTCCTCTTTTCTCCCCTTCCATGACTGACTAAACCCGAAGGAAAGCAATCCCACCCTCCAGGGCCATCCCGTGGAGCCCCGGGGGCCACAGCAGGGCGTGCAGACTCCAGGGTGCCTTCGCAAGGACAGCTGATGTGAGGACCCTGGGAAATAATGGCTCCGGGTTATTGAGAGGCTCCCTGCTCTCTGGGAAGGCCTGGCAGAGAAGGGCTCTTCTACGAGGTGACGGTTATCATCACTTCTGTGCGCACGGCTGCGTCCGCTCTCCAGCCTGCCACCTCCAGGCTGTCCTCCGACACACGCCCTGGTCCTGCTCTTAAAGACCGCAGGCTGCCCCCAGGCTCTGACGGATCTGGCTGGCTGCTCTCTCCACCCAGCTGCTGGAGCTAAGGCTCCTCCAGACCAGTGTCAGGGCGCAGGGAGCCCGGCTCCCTGCCTCGGGAGCACGGGGAGGCCAGTGGGGAGCTGGGGAAGAGGCCTGCGCCCCGTCACTGCCTCTGTCACCACCACCTAAAGAGTCAGATTCAGGCTGGGGTGGGGCTGCCATCAGAACTGGTCAAGAGCTGGGGCACCCGGGTGGCTCAGGTGGTTAAGTGTCTGCCTTCGGCTCAGGTCATGATCCCGGGGTCCAGGGTTCAAGTCCCGCATCAGGCTCCCTGTTCAGTGGGGAGCCTGCTTATTCCTCTTCCTCTGTCTCTGCCTTTCCCTTCCATTCGTGCTCCCTCTCTCAAATGGATAAATTAAAAAAAAAAAAAAAAAAAAGAATTGGTCAAGAGCTGCCCAGGTGACTCTCCAACTCCTGAGGCCTACAGGGGGAGCCACTGCTCCCCGCACCAGGGCCTCTCAGCACCCGCTCCCAGAGGCTGGGCCAGGGCTCCTCAGCTGATGTAACAGCAACAGTGGCAGGCTCACACTGCTGAGCTCTCCCCCTGGGCCCATCCTGCAGTGGCCCCTGACGCGTCATGCAGGGCCTCTACTGTTCCCATGGTGCACCGGGCCACCGAAGGCTGGGGCAGCTGAGGGCCTTGGGGGGCTGGGGCGGGGAGGCAGTCTGGCTCCTGAAACAGAGCTCCACCAGGAAGCCACTCTGCACCCTGGATTCCTAGGCCGAGGCCACCAGGGGGCAGAAGGGGGCGGGGGAGGCGGAGGAGGGCCCGCAGCTCCTGCCCGAAGGCCCCTTTGTGTACCCCAACTAAGGCCTCTCCTTGAGGATTTCAGGGGTGCTGCTAATAAACGACAGCCTCCCTGGCAGGGTTTGGAGACAGCCACCTTTGTGCCTGTGGAGGGGCTGAAGAGAAAGGCCTAGCCCTTTTCAGAACTTTCCAGAGCATGGGCTTGGAGAAAGCCAGAACACAGACATGACCAGGGGGCAGGAGCTAAAGTGGCCCAGGGGAAGCAGCCCCAGAGCCTGGCCTAAGATCCCACCTTTGGTTCCTGCAAAACCTAATTCCCTCCAAGAGGGCCCAGTGCCAGCAGGGGTGACGCCATCACCTTACATGGGGGGACAGAGCCACCCCGTGCGCGTGGGGCTTAACATGCCCAGAGCACCCTTCCTGGGGACCTCTCACGCCCACGCCCTGCTTCTGTCTGACTTTGCGCTCTGAGACTTCGTCCTATGACAGTTGTCCCTGGCTGGCCAGCGCTGGAAGGCGGTCATCACACCCCTGGGACCTGGAGTGGGCCAGGCTCTACAGGTGGGCACACTTCCTCTCCCACATGGGTCAGTAATGGGGACCGTGCCCCTGCCATCAGCAGGGCCAGGGGCAAATGGATCCCATCTCCTGTTAGATCTTCCCACCTTGACAAAATCTACCATCAAAACACCTGGCCGGCCAGACCTGCCCTGGGACTCTGGTGCTGGCACAGGACAGCAGGCCGCTCTCCTCGCACCCCCACAACCTCCACACCTCCCTGCTCCCCCTTTCTGGCCTATTCTTCTAATGGGCAGGCCATTTAACACCCTGTATATGTTACCGCTTTTGTTGTGTGAGTGAGCAAAAGGATTTTGTCTATCATGTTGGCGGCCGTATCTTAGTGCCTAGAACTGGGCTGGCGCAGAAAAAAAAAAAAAAAAAAGGACTAGCATTTGGTGAAGGAAAGAATAAATCAGGTTGAAAAGCCCCCTGAGGTCTTCCCTTTGAAAATGCAAGTGCCCCGGGGCAGGAAAGAATCCTCCCCAGGGCCTAGGATAGCACCAGGTGAGTGCTAGGAGATGTTTAGAATAACCAGCTCCATGATCTATGTATGGCAAGTCTTCTAGTAACTTCTACAGACGTGCAGGCTGTGGAGCACACGGCTTATCAATGATAATAAAATATGCACTATTCCTTCTACGTCCCGTTCCAGCCAGTTGATCATCACAAGTGAGTTTTGCCAAATCTTGTGTCCGCTGCCAACCTACAGTTTCCATTTAACACGGTTTGCCAAGGGAGGTCACATGTCAGTGAATGCAACTCCTTCCCCAATGAATGTATTGTCATTAAATCTGATAAGTGAGCCACCGTTACGCTATTTCTCACCCTCGTACAAATTACATTCATTAAAAGTGAGACCTCTTGCAAGTCTTCAGCACCACGGATGCCAATAGGGTTATTTTAAAACACTGGCTGTCTCCATGCAGGGATTGAAACTCTGATGCTACACGGTTTAAGAATGGCTGATTTGAAGCAATTCAAAATCTAAAAATCCTAAGAATGAGTGAGTCCTAGAGTGAGCCAGGCCCCGGACTGACCTCGTCTCTGCCCCTTGCTCACAGCGGCCTGGGAGGCCGGGTCATTCTCCCGACTTCACAGACCAGAAAGCAGAGGCTGAGAGGTGACTGGGCCCCAGGCCTGCTGCCTCCAAGCCCCCTGCCCTTCCCACTCGAGCGGGCCACCTGTGTGCAACCTCGCATTCAGGAGACGCCAGCGGCCACCTTCCTGGTGTCTGATCCCAGAATCCATGGGGAAGCTTCCCTTCCTCCCTCCTGGGAGTTTCACAGGTGCCAGGAGGGGGGAGTCACGGAGCCTCAGAACCTGGCGTGGGCTGGTTGGAGGTGGAGGGAAGTTCCTGAGGCCGACAGCTAGACCGCAGCGCGAGTCGCCACGCAGTCTGTCCCCCCGCAGAGGCCTTAGGTTTTTACCTTCGTCTTGGGGGTCTTGGGGTGAGGATGCGGCGCCGTCTGTCTAAGACGAGGTGCCCCCCTGGGGCCTGCAGGCCACCCACCCGCTGCAGACCCGGCTCCGGGGACCCAGCACTATGGTTACCCCAAGTAACCTAAGCACCTCCAGCGCCTGCGGGACCCTCGCTGGGCTCTGCTGCCCCCCCCCCCCCCCCCCCCCGCGCAGGTCCGCGCTCTGTTCCGTGTAACCCAACTCTCCCCTCCGGGCCTCCTGGAAACACAACTCCGTGCCTCCCTGAGGCCTGCTGGGCGCGGGGAGGGAACGCTCCGGACGCCCCAACTAGGCCTGACGTCAGGACGGCGGACGCAGGGGCCACCTCAGCCCGCCCCCATTTCACAGATGCGGAGACCGAGGCCCAGGAGCCGAGGCGCCTGCCAGAGGGCGGACCCGGGGCCTCTGCCCTCGCGGCCCCTTCTTTTGTTCCGCCCTCAGCGCCAGCCAGTTACAGGTGGCCCCGCTCCGCTCCGCTCCCCTCCCCCCTCCCCCCTCCCCATCCAGCGGTCAGCAGGAGGCACCCGCCGAGCGCCCCCTCGCGTCCGCCCACCTGCCAGTCGCACTGGCCAAGGCGAGGCCCTCGCTCCCCGCTCCGAGCCCCCGCAGCCCGCGGCCCCTGCCCGTGGGTGGGCCTGCGCCCCCCGCGCCCTCCCCACCGCCGGCACACCCAGCACGGCAAATCGCCTAATGAGCCCCACATTTTGCAGCGAGTCGCTAATTAAAGAGCAAAGCCGACCTACCATTAATCTGGTCCTGGGAAAGGAACTTGGCCTGGAGCAGGGAGAGGAAGACCGTCAGGGAGGGCGCCCCCGCCCCGGCCCCCACCCCCACCCCCACCCCGCCCCGCCCCCACCCACCATCGGGGCGTCGGGCGGTCGCCGGCGGGCTCGGGCTCGGGCTCGGGCTCCCAGGGCCGCCGCTCCTCCGCTCCTGCGGCTTCCAGGGCAAAGTCCGCGGGGCGGGGCGAGGCCCCGTAATGAACGCGCTGCCCCGGGGACGGGCCGGGCGCCCGGGTCGGGTTCCAGCGGCCCCAGCGGCGAGGCCCCCCTCCCCCCCCAGGTGTCGCCTGCCGCGCTCCCTCCTGGCCCGGGGCGCCCCGGGGCGGTGGCTGCCCTGCGGGGACTGAGCTGGGGGCTGCAACTCGTCCTCCCGCAGCCCCAACCCCCCCCCCGGGGCTGCTGCCCTGGGCCTTCCTCCCCTCCGAGCCGGCTCCCTGTCTGCGGGGAGCCCTCGCCTCCCTGGGGCCTCCTCGGGGCCGGGGGCCCCCCAGGTTGTGCTCTGCTCGCGGGGCCGGGCCCAGGGGACGAGTGGGTCCCGGGGAGGGCTGCACCTGCCTGCTTGCTCCAGCCCTCGGTCTGCTCTGCCCCTTGTCTCCCGACCAGCCTCCGCGTGGGTCTCTCCTCCCCCAGGTGACGTCCCTGCCTCACCTCCTCACTTCTGCTTCTACACCCGGAGGATTTCAGCGGGAGGGTGGGAGTCCCCTCTGTTGGGGCTGAGGAAGGATGGGTGGGATGCAGGAGGCGGGAGGAGGGGCCTTGGAGGCCAGGGGCAGGGGGTGCAGAGCCGAGGCTGGTGGGGAGCCCCTTGGAATTACCCTGTTTGGGCAGGGGCTCCCGGAGGAGGCAAGGCATCCTGGACTGAGGTTAGCGGGTGATCAAAACGGCTGCCCAGGGAGGGAGGGGTGGCTGCCTGAGGGTCACTGTAAAATCCATCAAGCTGCATCCTTGAGTGCGCTATGCGCCACCGCAACAGGAAAGCTAGAACCGCCCCCCCCATAGCAGCGGGGGGGGGGGGCAGGACTTGTTCACCCGCAGGATCCCGCCACCAGACTTCCCGATCCAGCAGTTAGGACGGGGCATTTCTTCTCCCATCCTGACGCGGCCAGGCAGGGCCACGGGGTGCACTTGAGAACTTCTCGGGAACCCTCTCCAGTAAACTGCCCAAAGAGGTCTTGGGCAAGAGGGACACGAAATCTCCAAGACTCTGATAACGGGCTGTGATGTCTTTTCCATTTTAAACATTTACTTTCATATCTAATTTTTTAAGAAGATTTATTTTAGAGACACACAGGGAGACCGAGGCAGAGAGAGAGGGAGAGAGCGCACCTGTGGTGGAGCAGGGAGGAAGGAGAGGGACTGTCAGGCCGGCTCCCTGCCAAGGGCAGAGCTCAGTGCGGGGCGCGATCGCAGGACCCTGAGATGGTGACCTGGGCTGCAATCAAGGGTCAGATGCTTAACTGACTGAGCCACCCAGCGACCCTCATACCTAATTTCATATATATATATATATATATATATATATATATATATATATATATATAAAATTTTTTTTTTTTCTGTTTTAGCCAGGCCTCCCCCTTTGCCACCCTCCCTAAAAGTTGTATGAGCTTCAGGCCCCACACGACTGGGCCCGGGGCCTGGGCCTGCTCAGAGGCCACCAGCACGCGGCTGTGGAGAAGAGGCCCAGAGCAGGTTGGAAGGAGCAGCGTCCGCAAGGCCAGGAAGGAATCCAGGGACGACGCCAACATAGAGCACCTCCTGTCCCCGCTAACGGGAGCCCCAGGAAGTCCCGGGGGCCGCGTGGGGAGTCCGAGGCCGCGTGGGTAAGCGGCTCGTCCAGGCTCAGTGCCAGCTTCCAACCAACCAGCCTCCTCACCTTCCCCAAAGGCGCCCTCTCTGTTCCGGCCTCCGGAAGGAGCTGGCAGGGGGGCAGGCAGCCTGGAGGTGCCCGTCCTGGCTCCCCACCCCCATATCCGTGGCTCCTCTGGAGAGGGCTGGGACTGACTGGGAGGAGCCCCCCACGCCCCAGCACCCCATGAGGGGCCTGTGAGGCTGATGGGCAGCGGCAGCACCTGCTCTTAGCCACAGGCCTCTGCCTGGCCCCAGGGCCCCCCTCCCGCCCCCCCCCCCAAGTGACGCGCAAAACAAGAAGCGGCCACCAGCCAGGCTTGGCTCCACGCTGGTCTTTATTCACACGTCCCTCCACCCATCCGACCAGGGGCTGGGGGACCTCTAAGGGGGGCTGTAGAGGGGCCCCAACATGAAAGGAGCTGAGGCCTGGGGCTCCCTGAGGACACAGGAGAGGCGCAAGGCCCCGGGGAAGGCAAGGCCCCGGGGAAGGCAAGGCCCCGAGACCCCCAGCTCGCTGAGCCAGTGCTGGCTGGAAAGGGGGACTGCGTGGGCCGCTGTGTGGGTACACCTGGCCCCAAGGCTGGGGGGACATGGGCCCGGGGCGTCCTGCTGGGAGCGATGCCTCCCTTTTCTGGGAGCAGGGCCATGAGCAAAGGCATGAGATTCAGGCTGAGACAAGGCCTCAGGTTCCTGGCCCCCAACAGCCCCAAGAGCCCCCCTGGCCCTCTAATGGGGCTCAGGGAATACTGTGAGCTGCAGCTCAAACGTCCCGGGTAGGCTGCCAGGAAGGGGTGCCGCAGTGGGGAGCAGGTAGGCAGCTTCCGGTAGAGGGAAATGGTTGGAGGCCCTGAGACTGGGCTGTGGTCAGGGGAGGCGGCTGGCCTCCAGCTCTCCAGGGTTGGGTGGCTCAATGCTCCGTGTGACCTGAGTTTGGGTGGGGATCTGAGGTGCACGTACCCCACCTGGGGGTAGCAGAGGGCAGTGACAGGAAAGAACTTTCCATCCATCCCAAGGCTGCCCCAAAGAGGAGACCACAACCAGCCTGACACACTCTGGGCCCTGAGCCCCGCCAGTGCAAGTGAGGCCCAGGGGAGGGATGCGCTTTGCTCAACAACGCCCAGAAAGTGAACTTAACCTTTGTCACCCGGCCTGCAGGGTCAGGGCAGGTCTAAGGGGTGAGCCAGGTGGGACGGTGACATGCCCAGTCCCCTCACTGCTGCTGCCCCACCCACCTACACAGCATGGCCAGAGGACACCCCAGAAGAGACCAGCCCCGCGCAGCGCGTGAGGGTGCCCAGCTCCAGTCAGGTGCATGAGAAGGCAGGGCCCCGACCTCGGCCTGGACGCACTGCCTGAAACTATATCCCAACCTGAAAAGATCCAAACCAAAGAGAAACTTGATCCAAACAACTATTATGACGGTGCACTCTGCACATGCGCACGCGCGCACACACACACCTGTCCGAGTGCACGATGCACACCCTCACCAATGTCCTGTTACCAGTTACACATAAGCAGACACACATACATACGCGCGCACACACACGACACACACACACACACACCCTTGTCCATGTGCACAACGCACATCCCTACCAACGCCGTGATGACCGCACATCCACGGGGGGATACACACATCCCACACTCACACACTCGCTACAGCTCATCTCCCTCCAGGCAGGGCCCCGAGTGGCCGCTGCCTGGGACTCAGGGTCGGCTGCTGACGTGGAGGGTGTAGAAGGCCCAGGGCTCGGGGACGTAGATGACACCCGGGTACTTCTTCCTGAGCACGGGGTCGTTCCAGAGCCAGGTGACCCACAGGGCCACAAGCAGAAGGGTGAGAGCAAAGGAGTAGAAGAGGAAGAGGCCGTTGCTGTCCAGGAAGAGGCGCTTCCGCTTCTGGTGCAGGACAAGGGCCAGCATGGCGAAGAAGGTGAAGATGAAGAGGATGAAGATCTGGCCCTCGGTGACCAGGTACCTGGAGAGGCCAGCGGGTGAGGTGAGTCGGGGCCCATCACAGCTCTGTCCTGCCCGGCATCCCTCGCTGTACCCACGTACCGGGGTGCCCTCCCAGCCGGTCAGAGCAGCTCACATAACAGGGGGCTCAGGGAACCATACTACTCCGAGCCACAGCCCTGTGGGCAGCAGGTTAATTTGGCTTGTATAGCTGCCATTTTTTAAAACGTTGAGTTTGTTACCAATGTTTAAGTAACAGAGTAGCAGAAAGTAATGGATTTCTGGTTTCTTTGGTCACATTAGGCCTGTATTCCCAGATGACAACTGATTACAGAAGGCAGCCGTCCCCTCAAGAAAGAGCATGTGGCTACTGTTTGCCACACTCCCCACCACTCCCTATTGCTTCCTCGATGCCTCTCTGTTACCAGCCTGGCTCCTATAGGCATTTGAGTCTGGAAATGCAGTTGCAATTCATAGGGGTGGTCACTTCTGTCTCCTTGAGGGCTGGGACAGTCCCAGACCTCCCAGGGTTCTCTGCAGCTCCCGGGGCAGTGCTTAGCACATGGCCAGGAATCCAGTAACATGTGTTGTCTGGTCCACTCCCCTGCCTCCAGGGAGAGCCATGATGCTGACCATTCCACTCGAGGAATTATAGCTCTACAGCTCAGTGGCTGTGTGACCTTGGGGAATTTACAGGACATCCTGGAGCTTCCGTGTTCTCACTCAGAGAGGGCATAAATGGGCCAGGCTCTCCAGAGGTAAGACCTGCAGGAACTGTGTACATCTCTTACTCGGAAAAGCACGTGGCTTAAATGGCTGCAGCTCCTATCGTGGCCACCTCTGCGTTAACATGCTGTGGGTAAGAACTGCACAGAAAGCCCTGCCCATGTCGAACCACCTTCCTTCTTGCTGTGGGTGCCACTCATTCTTTCTCGCCCTGTCATCAGGGGGCATACCGATTGGCCCTGGTCCATCCTCTCCGCAGGGCAGGGGACAGACCCAGGGACGGACCCTAGGGATCTGGCTCCATGAAAAAAGACCCTTCTCATTCTGAGGCAAGCTTCCCATCAGAGAAGGGTCCGGTCCTTCCTATGACATCCCGGAGCCTGTCCCCGGGGCAGAAGTGACAGAGGAGAGGTAGGAGCCTGGCTGAGGCCGGAGTCGCCACGGACTTCCCCTTCTCTGTCCTTGTCACCTTCATAGTGCTTTACAGTTCACGAAGCCTCCTTCCGCCCTGCTAGATCCTCGCCATCTCCTGAGACGGAGACAAGCAAGGACTGTCCCACTTCGCACAGGTGGAAACTGAGGCCCACCAGGCTCTATGGGTTTGGTTTACAGGTGGATTCTGTGGGGCCCAAGTGGCACTGGGGTTCTGTGAGCTGGGGCAGAGGGGCGTGAGGGTGGAGAGGCCACACTCAGGCCTGGCCTCCTGGTGACAGAGAGGCTACCACACAGCACTGCCACCGTCCCCGCTAGACAGAGGGGGAAGCAGGAGCCCAGGGCACGTTTTTACTGCCTGGCTCACTCGGCGCCCCCGCTCGCCCCCCAGGTCCAGGTCCGCTCACCAATAGTAGAGGCCACTGGGCATGGCCAGGAGCAGGGCTGCCCCCGGCACTGAACTCTCCGCCTTGGTGGGAGTGAAGCAGCCACTGAAGTATATGAAGAGGATGAGGAAGAAGGGGACGTACCTGCAACAGGGAGCGTGCCTCAGGCCTGGGCACACCCTCCCGCTCAACCAGCGCTCTCCCCCACCTTGCACGAGCCGTCCTGGTGGGTCCTCCCCAGGCTGGGGGGGGGGCGGGCAGGCTGGGGTCTAGGCTGGGGCACATGCACATCAGAGGCCCACAGGCCGCCTATGCTGCGGGGGGCGCACCTCCCTGCGCAGGGAGGGGGTGTGAGGGGGTGCCCCCCACCTACTCCAGGGCTGGGGACCACAGGCTCCAGGTCCTGCAGGGGCTCTGTGAAGCCCCCTCACCGGTGCCCCCCCCCCCCCCCCCCCCGCCACCTGGGAGGGCTACACTCCCGGCCCGCCCCTCCTCCCTTCCCCGGGGCCCCCGGGGAGGCCAGGCCAGGACCCGGGACTGCCAGGTGGTGCCCGGATCCCGGACACGCAGGAAGCCCCAGCCCGCTCCCGGCGGCTCGTCCCGCGAGGTGGGGGGCTGCGCACAGCTGGGAGCCTTCCGCCGCCCTCGGGGTGCAGGGGGGCTCTCCCGGGACTTGCAGGAGCGGGCACGCAGCCGCGCCCCCCGGAGTCCAGCCAGCCCTCCTCGCCTTCACCCCGACCTGCCCCCCACCGCCCCCCCAGACCCCGGGGCTCCGGGAAGGGCTGGGGCCTCGGCCGCGCCCTCCCCGCGGCTCCGGGGCGCAGGGCTGGCTGCCCGCTGCCCTCTAGTGGCCGCCGCGGGCACTGCCGCGCCCCTCTCCCAGGGGCTCCCGCCCCCCCCCCCCCCCCCCCCCCGCGACCCCGGGCATCCCGGGACCCGGGCCCATCACTCACCACATGCAGTGGCCCAGGTACTCGTCGTAGTAGTAGAGCAGCTCGAAGGAGTCGATCTGAGGGCGGCAGGTGCACCGGGGGGTGCCGGGGTGGGCCTCCCCCAGCCGCCCTCATCCCCCCCCCTGCCGCCCCGCCCTCTCCCCAGGGGTCCCTCTCCCCAGCAGGGCGCCTCCAGCAGGTCAGGAGGGCAGGCGGCGGGGCTCTCCCGCCAGGACGGCCGACCCACAGGGCTTTGCATGCGTGGGGGGGGGGCCCTCACCAGCGTCTCAGGGTTCAGATTCTTGATGATGGGGTTCTCGCGGACAGACAGATGGTGCTGGTAGCCACTGAAGAGCAGGCGGTGGTTCACGGAGTCGCCCACCAGGTGGATGCTGGCACCCATGACAAAGGTGATGATGCTGACGTAGATCACAGAGCGGGGCAGGGTGCGAGGGGACCGCTCGATGAGCTGAGGTCACAGGGAGGCCATGGCTCAGCCTCCACCGCAACAGGAGACACCCCTGCGCCCCCCTCATGCCTGATCCATGACACCGGCTGAAAAGTCACTACGGAATTGGTGGGTCCCGTTAGCAGGCCAAGCCAGCCTCGAGTCTCAGGCGATCCCCGTGAAGCCGGCATGGGCTGGGAAACAGCACCCCCTTTTCCCAGGGAGCAGACTCAGAGGGACTAGCTGATTGCCCAAGGTCGCACACTAACCACGTGGTGGAAGTGACAGCCAGGCCTTCAACGCAGGCATCCAGGCACAATGCCCGGCCCTCTCCCTACCCCCAGGTGTGCCTCTGGGTGGCTGGGCTGGCTCACCAGTGGGACCCTCTGGTTTCTGAGCCACTGGCCCATGGAGGTAAGCACAAAGAAAATGTCAGGGAAGTGTGGTGTTGGGGGGGCGGGTGGCAGGGTGAGGGGAGAGCAGATGCTTTGGAAACCAAACTAAGATTCCTCTGAATTCTAGTATTATACCTTTCTTACTTTTGGAGATTAGAAGCATCTTTCTAGAAACAAAATGATGGGGATGGCACATGGCGATAGTTGTTTTAAGAGCCCTTACTTGCACCTGCCAAGCCGGCAGCCCTGGCTAGCTCTGTACTCCCAGATCTCCAGGCCAGAGTAAAGGTCGCCTCCATTGCTGCCACCTGAACCCTACCTGCCTTCCCAACTGGTCCCTGACTTCTCCCCCAGACAACCAGCCCAGTCACTCCTTCTGCTTCAGCTTCCCCAAAATTACTGTGGTTTCACAAGCATGGCCCTGTCTTCGGGTCCTTTTGCCTGAGCACCTCTTGCACATCATCCCCTGGCACACCAGGCTAAAGCCCAAATCAAACACCCCTCCTCGGGGAGGGCTTCTGCATCCCTCCTCGCCAGGCCCTTGGTGTGTCCCTCTGCCACAGCCTTCACCCCCCCAGGCTCAGGAAGGGTAGGCCTGCTTCTACTGGCCTCCATGACTCACAGGGCTTGGCACCAGCCTCCTGCCAGGGAGGAAGGATGAGGGTGAGAAGGGAGGGCAGGGAGGCTGGGGCTGTACCTTGAGCAGCAGGAAGGGCGTGATGATATTGTAGGCCATGTGGAAGTAGTCCCCTACGCTGGGCTTGTTGAGTGGAAACCATTCGAGTGGGAACACCAGCTGGGGAGCAAGGGAAGAAATGGTGTTCACCCAGGCCCAGAAGGCCCTCGGAGAGTTGGCCCCCACCTCCTCCACACATACTTAATTCTTTCTGTGATCTCTGGGGATCCTCCTGGCAGCCCTAGGGTACCCAGACAAACTGAGTCCCAAAGGAGGTATCCCCAGGCACACAAGTAGAGGCAAATCCAGAGCCTGACTCTGCGCCCCTCTCCTAGTGGGTACTAAATAAATGTCCCTGGGTATTGGTCTGGTAGTTAGAGACTACTTTGGGACTTCATGGTGCCACAAACTTTCTGGGTGACCCTTGGCAAGTCCTTCTCCTGTCTGGGCCTTGGTTTCCCCATCTGCAACATAAGAGATGTGGCCCAGTTGTTCTACTTGGGCCCTTAGGGGTCTGGCACTTTCCAGTCCTCTGATGATGAAAAGATCTCCTGACCTCTAGGCTCCATGCTCTAAGTACTGAGCATGGACCACTTCCAAAAGTATATGTCAGGAAACAAAGGAGAAAATAAGTGAGTTCTACAAAGTAGCTTCAGTTCTTTTTTTCTTACCTTCCCTGAGAAAGGAGGCAGGCCAGGGGCAGTTCCTCAGCCTGGCAAGCCCTCTCTTACTGGTCTACCCCAGTGAGTCCTGGCCTTGTTGGGGTCAGTGTGAAAACCCCTGTGCAAAGTCAAAACATGTTATGACCCCCCCAAACTGGACTTCCAGTATCTGTAGATTGAGGACACAGGCAATGACCACAAATTTCAATTGAAATCATAAAGTTTATCTCTTTTAATTCAGAAATGCCATGTTGGTTAAAACTAACCTGCACATATAAAACTCCCAGGATACAGGTCTCTGTTCCTCTCTTTTTCTCTTACTCGGTGTGTATCTCTGTATCTTCATCTATATCAAGATATATATGTTGGATATATACACCACATCTTCTTTATCCATTCAATTACTGATGGACACTTAGGATGCTTCCATAATTTGGCTATTGCAAATAATGCTGCAATGAACATAGGGGTGTATACATCTTTTCGAATTGGTGTTTTCATTTTCTTTGGGTAAATACACAGTAGTGGAGTTACTGGATTGTATGATATTTCTATTTTTAATTTTTTTTTTTTTTTTTAGGAAACTCCATACTGTTTTCCACAGTGGCTGTACTGATTTACATTTCCATCAACAGTGCACGAGGGTTACTCTTTCACCATGTGCTCACCAACACATTACTCAGCCATAAGAAGAATCTTCCCATTTTGCAATAACCTCTTGGTCTATTATGCTAAGTGAAATAAATCAGAGAAAGATAAATGCTGTATGATTTCACTTATATGTGGAATCTAAAAAAACAAATGAACAAACACAGAAACAGAATCATAAATACAGAGAACAAACTGGTGAGTCCCAGAGGGGAAGAAGTTGGGGGATGGGCAAAATAGGTGGAGGGGATTAGGAGGTACAAAATTCCAGTTATCAAATAAATAAGTCATGAGGCTGGAAAGTATGGCATAAGGAATATAGTAAATAATATTGTAATAATGCGGTGTGGCACCTACATTTAAGTGTGGCAAGCACAGCATAATGTATAGAATTGTTGGATCGCTATGTTATACACCTGAAACTAAAATAACACTGTATGTCAACCATACTTAAATTTCTTTAAAAAAAAAAAGATACATGTGATGGCTGAAATAGTCTTTATGATAGGAAAATATTAGAAACAGGCCGACTCCTCAACTAACCAGGACAAGCCGAATACGTTACAACACATCTTTACTCTAGCAGGTGAAGTAGCCATTATCAGAAATGACACCTTGTATGTACGGACATGAAAAGACAGCCATCGTATATTCTAAAGGAAAGCAAGTTGTAGAAAAAGGCATAAAGTAAGATCTCATTTTAATTAGAAAAGGAAAAAGAATGTGTGTTTGCAGGAGCAGAGAAAGGAGTGAGTAGCTGTGCCCCAAACTGTTCGAAGTGAGACTTATTTTTTTTTAATTTTTTATTTATTTATGATAGTCACAGAGAGAGAGAGAGAAAGAGAGGCAGAGACATAGGCAGAGGGAGAAACAGGCTCCATGCACCGGGAGCCCGACATGGGATTCGATCCCGGGTCTCCAGGACGCACCCTGGGCCAAAGGCAGGCGCCAAACCGCTGCGCCACCCAGGGATCCCCGAAGTGAGACTTAGAAGGGGAGAATCTGGGCAGCCTGGGTGGCTCAGCAGTTGGATGCCTGCCTTCAGCCCAGGGCATGATCCTGGAGACCCGGGATTGAGTCCCACGTCGGGCTCCCTGCATGGAGCCTGCTTCTCTCTCTCTCTCTCTCTCATGAATAAATAAATAAAATTTTTAAAAAAATAGAAAGGGAGAATCTAATATTTCTTCATACACCTGGGCATTAGTTGACCTGTTACAATTAACTACATACCACTTTTATGGCTTGTACGAGTTTGTTTTTCACTATCACAAATTTGGGGACGTCATGCCAACATTTCAAAAGCTCCAGTGTATATATGAGCTTTTCATATGTATACTCTCCTAACAAGCTCACTTAGGTGGCTGGGTGGGCTGAGGAAGTGATGTGGGCCACCACATGGGCCACCATGGCCAGTTGTGGCTGAGTCCTAAGGAGTGAGGGCAGAGGACAGCCATGAGCCTGCTCCCGTATTCACTTCCCCCCTCTCCTTAGCATCGGTTTGATGGGCAGCTCCTTTGGTCCCTAGTATGTGGAACCTTTGTGCGGGAAGGGAGCTCAGAGCAGCCAGGCCAACCAGCCTTCTTACAGATGAGAGAACCAAAGCCTAGCAGACAGTGACTTGCTTAAAGTCACCCACAAAGCTGACCAGGTACCCTGACTCTTGGCTCAGGCTCTCTTCTTTCTCCCACACTGAAAAAACATATAAATCTTACAGAGAGTCTGCAGGAAGGAGAAACGGTATCCACCCCAAGTCTGCCCCAACAGTGCTGCCAGAAAAGCTTTCTTTGTTGTTATGTTAAAGATTTATTTATTCTTTTATCAGAGAGAGAGAGAGAGAAAGGGAGAGAAAGAGAATGAGCAGGGGGAGGGGGCGAGGGAGAGGGAGAGAATCCCAAGGAGACTGTGCTGAGTTGCTGAGTGCAGAGTCTGACTCAGGGCTTGATCCCAGGACCCTGAGATCCTGACCTGAGCAGAAATCAAGAGTTGCCGCCTAACCAACTGGGCCACCCAGGTGCCCTAGAATTAAGAATTAAGCTTTTCTTAATTCCCTTCAAGTGTCTGACTCACGTATACAAGATGTTGAGATTGTCACTGACTTGCAATCCGGCACTATGCATGCCACCGCCACAACTTTTCTCCCAAACGACTCAGGCTGCTCCAGACTGTCCATGTTTAATGGCCAGATAATGTTCTCTATACCAGATACAGAAAGCTGATTTGCCCAGCACCTACTGCTGGACGCTGAAGTCACGTCCCAGGTAAGCAATGCTGCAGGGAACACCTTCGGGTATAGAGGCTGTTGTCTCCTTGCTGATTACATCTTCAGGGTAGATTCTTGGAAGGGGTCTTACTGGGTCAGGAGGGTTAGCGTATTAGAGTTCTGGATATATACAGGACAGGAAGGGGGTGAGTGCCTGGGTGCAGGTGCTGGCTCTTCCCCTTGCTATTTGGGCCACCCTGAGCTAGTTACCTGCCCTCTCTATCCTTGAGTCTTCCCATCTGTAAAATTGACATTAGTAAGAGTGGTGAGGTGAGGATCCAATAAATTTAAACACGTAAAGAGTTTAGAACAGAGCGAGCACTCAATGTATGTTAACCACTATTCCTACTTTCCTATTATTATCATTCCTTCAATAAGAGTGCATTGAGGGGCACCTGGGTGGCTCAGTCCGCTGAACGTCTGACTCTTGATTTCGGCTCAGGTCATGTGTGACCTCAGGGTCCTAAGATCAGCCCCAATTTGGGCTCTGTGCTGACTGTGGAGTCTGCTTGAGAGTCTCTCTCTCCCTCTCCCTCTGCCACTCCCCCTACCCACCTATGCAAGCACTCTCTAAAATAAATAAACCTTTAAAAAAATAATAAAAAGGGGCACCTGGGTGGCTCAGTGGTTGAGCATCTGCTGTCAGCTCAGGTCATGATCCTGGGGTCCTGGGATTGAGTCCCACATCGGGCTCCCTGCGGGGAGCCTGCTTCTCCCTCTGCCTGTGTCTCCACTACTCTCTCTGTGTCTCTCATGAATAAATAAATAAAATCTTTTAAAAAATAATAATAAAAATAAAAGTGCATCGAGCATTTATGCCAAGCACTTTTCTAGGCTCCCAGTTATCACTTGGACAAACTGCTTTCCAAAAGGGCTTTGCTAATTTGCATTTCCACTAGCATGTGCCAGGTGTCTGTTCCAGTATTGGATATAGTTATCTTTACCCCCCCACACACACACACACAAATTAACCACCTGGTACATGGTGCTACCTCACTCAATATATTCACATTCTGTTATCTATCTATCTATCTATCTATCTATCTATCTATCTATCTATCTATCTATCTATCATCTATCTACCTACCTACTTATTACAAGCCAGGAATTTCAGTGCTCTTCCTGCATTAATCTCTGTGGAGGCCACTACTGTACACTGATGCATGAAGTAGCCCTGGAGGGAAGGAGATGGTTTCACAGACAGCACTAAAAATTACCTGGGGCTCAGAGTCATGATACACAAAATCAACCTAGACTCTTTACCTCCAGAAAAATAATAATATTATGCCAAGGCTGTGGGGATGCTCTGCTTTCTTTCCCATACCCCACAGCACGGCTTGGTGATTTGGCTAAAGTCACTTGGCAAATTCAGGTCACACTGTGTGTCCTCACTGCTGGTAGGGGCTCTGTCCACGGCATCACACTCACCATGGCGATGGGGCGGCCAAAGTCCAGAACCCAGTTCTGCAGGGTGAAGTAGAACCAGAGGTCGAGGTGGAAGGGAGCTGTGCCAGTAGCTTCATCAGCCTTGCCAGAGCTGTGCCTGAGAAGCAACCAGACAAGAAGGGTCAGCTCTTCTCTGCTCCCATGGGAACCTTCCCCCTGAGATGAGCCACAGAAAGGTATGGGGACTCGAGGGTAGGGGTATTCATTGCCAGGAAGAGCTCTGCTGGAAACACTGGCTCTGAGGCCAAGGGGAATGCGTCCTGGGAATGGATTCCAGCTGCCCCCAACATTAGCTTAGCTTCTCCGTGATTCAGGAAGGAAACTGCTAAACTGGCAGTTTCTTTGGGGGCGTTCTCACCTATAGAATAATGGGGAAATGAAATCGGGCAAAGGATGCAATGTGGCTGGAAAATGCATCTCATGCTGATAGATGACAGCAGTGAACCTTTATTGAATACTTGCTGTATTCCACGCACATTCTCATCTAACTCTTTTAATCCTTACAGAAACCCTTTGAGGTTGGAATATTAGTCCCATTTTACAAGTGAAAAAGCTGAGGTCCAAGATGTTATGTAACCTGCCCAAAATTATAGACAAGTATTTTTTTAAGACTTTATTTATTCATGAGAGACTCGCAGAGAGAGAGAGGCAGAGACACAGGCAGAGCGAGAAGCAGGCTCCATGCAGGGAGCCTGATGTGGGACTTGATCCTGGATCCTGGGATCACATCCTGGGCCAAAGGCGGACGCTCAACCGCTGAGCCACCCAGGTGCCCCTATAGTTAAATATTTGCACCCAAATGATTAGGCTCCATAGCTTATATTTATGACCTCGCTGCCAGCATCATGTCCACAGGGATTGGGCCACCAGATGGGCATGTGACCTGAGCTGGAGCTATCAGAGCCCTCCAGTGAGACCTGCCTTATAGACCAAAGACTGGGACCAACAGGCCCTTTCCCTCAGATCCTGAACCAGGCAGGAGGAAGGAAGAATAAGGCCGCTGGTGTCACTCATCCACAGTGCAACCCTCCAGCAGGGACACCCTGCAAGGTGACACAAGAAACATGGCAAGAAGTGGAATGCCATCTGAAAACACATCTTTGGACACTTGTCCCTCCTGCAAAGCAGTTAGTCATCTGCTTTTCACAAATAAGCTGAAGCTCAAGGGCCAGTGAATATGCCACTTCCTCCAGGATGGCTTTCCTGATGAAGCTTTTCCCAAAGCCCCACCAGCCCCACTCCAGGGGTGCTTCATCTCTAACCCCCAGTCTCGCCATGACATTATGGGTCTGGAGTTTTGCTCTTACCGAGACCCTCAAGAAGATGAGTGACTTTTAAGGTTCTCTCAACTCATCAACTTCCTCATCAGAGTCGAAATCCTCTTCACAATGTCCCTGACACTACTTGCATGTCTCCGGTGACGACAAGCAGCCTGCTATTCCTAAGATGATTTGAGGTGTGAATTTTATTGCTCTATTTATGCCAAGAACAGGAGCTGTGTGAATGGTCCGGATCACCCAGAGTTCTCAGCTCAGTTCCTGGTTTGTGCTGAGAGATTACTAGATGATTTAAAACAATCTCAATTACCAGTTACTCATTCTTTTTACTGGCCAATATTAGCTTAGAGGCGACATGAAGGGTTTCCTCTTCTCTGCGCTGCTATTGCTTCTGTCACTTTCTGGGATTCCTTTCAGCCAATCTAAGCATGGCCCACAGTGGGCTGGTGGAGCAGCCCAGAGGCAGAGGGGCCAAGCTCCTGGAGGGGGAGGAGGGGAAGGTCTCATCATCCTCTGGTGGCAGGCAAGACAGGTGGATGGGGCCTCTCTTGGGTCAAGCCTTCTTGTCCCTTCTACTCAGCGTTCCCGTCCCCCACATTTATTGAGTGCTGGTGTGTGCTGTGCTAGGAGCTTCACCTGCACCATCTCACTGAATGCTGGCAGCAACCTGCACAAGGCTGTTCCCCTCTTGTGTTGCAGAAGAGGATACTGAGGCTTACAGGGGTTAAGTGCTCAGCCAAGATCACCCATGTAGTAAGGCACTGCAGCAACTACTACTTTTGTCAGCCAAGCTTCTTCTAGTAAGAGATGATGTTTCCTTGGCCAAAGGCAGGGCTGGTGACCTAAGCCAACCCAGTGGGGCTTTTCCAACTAGAGTTGGTGGAGAAAGTGTCTTCCCTTCTGGCACTGGGGTGCTAAGGCTGCAAGCCCAGGGCTGCCTGTGGCCAACGTGTGCCAACCTCAAAGGGCAGCAAGGCAAGAATGAAGCAACCCTGCAGAGAAGACCAGAGAAAAACATGAGGAAAAGCCTGAGAGTTCTAGGCAACCCCAAGCTAATGGTTTGGCCACATGAACCAATACACTCCTTTTTGCTAAGGGTACTAGAGTTCACACTAGCTTTATGTCACTTGTCCAGGAGCCCTGAACAGCATAAATCCAAACCTGTGTCTTTATGAACTCAAGACCTGTGCTCTAAATAGTTTCCTATTCTGTTTCTATTATAATAAACTATGTGACATATGAAGTGATCAGTATGCAAAGCCTGTATGAAGGAAGAGAGCCTGGAAGCATGAATAGGTGGATTTAAGTAGGCAGAAAAGCAGGAGAGCATGATCAAAGGCCTGGGGTGGAAGTGAGGAAGGCACTGCATGGAGTTGAATGCCTGGGCTTATTATCGGCTGAGATAAAGAGAAGTGAGGGACTGGCTGGGCTTCAGGCTGGGCAGATATTCAGAAATTCAATGTGACAATTGTTCAGAGATGAGTCTGAGATGAACAACTGGCTTAGAGGGTCCATGTGCCCTTCCCTTTAGTGACTATTAGTCAAGGACTCAAAAAGCAGATGGTGAGAACCTCCAGGCGTAAAGAACTTGGCAGGAGAGAGGATAAACTCTCAATGCTTTATTCTGGAAACCTCCAAAGTGGTCAAAGAGTAGGATGTTTGCTACAGAGAAGAAAGGTATTTTGAAAGCCTGGGGAAGCACTTACGAATGAGTCTCTGGAAGCTGTGGATACCTAGTATATACTAGGGGATCAGTAATTATTTCCTCTTCTACTGAAGGGGGCATCTCAGTTAATGAGGATCCCTGGTTTAGCAGGGCAGGAAAAAAGAGGCAGATACAGGACACTCAGCTTGGGAATCAAGACTGGTTAGCATCTGACTGGTTTTCTTTCGTTGGGACTGTGACTCCAGGTGGCAGATCACAGAGGGCATTGGCATCCTCTCCCCTAGTTCTTGTCCTGGGGATGAGCAACCTCAAGCCGGTCCCAAGTTCCTGACTCTACAGACTTCACACACTGAACCCCCAGCCTGTGCCAGCTCTAGATCTGTCATCAGAAACTACAGCTGAGAACACTAGTGAATGGCAGGTAACCCAAGACGAGGATAGCCTTTTCTCTCCTCCACAGCTTTACAAGTGTACCATATGAGGGAACTGATACCATGACAGGCAGGGACCACATAACATACAGCTGAAATATTCAAAGCAGTCAGCATGTGCAGGACTGCCTGGCATAAAAGGAAGGACCCAAAGCATGGTAAAGTCAAGCAGGGACCCATAAATGGGAACTACAGAGGGATTAATTTTGGTTCTATATAAAGAACAGTAAAATACCTGACATGATGGAAAGCTTGAACAAAAAATGAGAAAGTGAAGGCATATAATAAGAAGGGAAAAGAAAGGCAATTAGAAACCCCAGGAAAAACAAAAACAATATAAGAGAGCATATGGTACTATCAAACATTCCTTGGCTTTGCAGGGAATGTTTACATGGCTTGACTAATAAAATATTGTATACTGATTTTCAAAGTTTAGAATCCATTCACACACAAAACATGAAGGCAATTATGCCTAAAAAACAGCAAGTAAATACCATTACCCTTAAGAATATGAAAGTACCCGGGTGGCTCAGCGGTTTAGTGCCGCCTTCAGCCCAGGGTGTGATCCTGGAGACAGGGAATCAAGTCTCACATCGGGCTCCCTACATGGAGCCTGCTTCTCCCTCTGCCTGTGTCTCTGCCTCTCTCTCTCTCTCTGTGCCTCTCTTGAATAAATAGTCTTAAAAAAATAAATAAACATTATCTTAGAAGCTACACAAGATAAATCAAGAAATGGCAGTTGAGTACAGCTTTTAAGGACATGGACTTTGGAGACCACCTGGGTTCACATCCTAGCTTTGCCACCAGCCAGATCTTGAGCAAGTTACTTAATCTCTCTTGGGCCTCAATGTTCTCATCTGTAAAATGAATGATAATAGCAGATCCTATCTCAAGAGTTGCTATTGAATTATTATGTGCAAAACGTTAGAGCAGGATCTGGACCGCAGAAAGTGTTACATACTACTTGTTAATATTTTATTTATTTTTTTAAAGATTTTTATTTATTCATTCATGAGAGAGAGACAGAGGCAGAGAGACAGGCAGGGGGAGAAGCAGGCACATAGTAGGGAGCCCAGCATGAGACTTGATCCCGGGTCTCCAGGATCACACCCTGGGCTGAAGGCGATGCTAAACCACTGGGCCACCGGGGCTGCCCACTTGTTAATATTTTGAAATATGAATTTAATTGTGGTAAAAACAGCTAAAAGAAGCTACTGTTGTCTCTGGTGCCAGGGTAAGGAGGAAGAGAACCACTGTTTTTTACTCTAAGTCCATCTGTATTATTTAACAACAGGCATGTATTACTTTGATAGAAATACAAAAAGTGTCAACAGCACAGGCAGCTGGAATGGGCCACCCTGAAAGGTGTCATTAGAGGCGTGTAAGCAAAGCATGGGGGCAGCAGAGGAAATCTAAGCATTTTAGGAACTAGACAAGATGATTCTGTCTATTGTGTTCAGCAACAATGATACTGAAAATGGTCATAGAGGGTGGCAGTCAGTCCTCGTGCCATTCCCAGGGAGCACGGTGGCTGGTAGTGAGCTCATACAGGAGTAAAGGTGAACACTGATCCTCAGCAGCCCAAGTGGAAGTACAAGCAGAAGCCCTGGATTTAGATCCTGGTTCTTGCAGGCAAATGATGTAATCTCTCTGGGCCTCATATAAAAAAAATATGTTTCTGTGCAGACAGAAAATCTGTGTATGTTTCCATATAATACAAAATATAAAAAGACTAAGATACTGCATATGGAAGCCCCACACGGGAGTTAAAGTGGCGATCATATTTGATACCCACGACTGTTCTAATGGGGCTGCCACAGTTCAGGGCAGTCAAAGACCCCCAACTTGAAGGGGATCCAGAAGAGAGATGACCCTCAGTAGCAGAGGAAAGAGCTGCCCTCAGCCAAGTCTCTCAGACTCTCCCCTCATCCCAAATCATACCAGACTTTCTAAAATTGACTCTGAGCGCACTAGTGCTCAAAACCTTCCATGGCTCTCCTGTACTTGCAAAATGAAGGCCGTATTTTTAACCCGCCATTTAGGGCAGGAGCTAGGGTGAGGCAAGGGAGGCACACAGGGCTCAGCATTTAAGTAGGCACAGTTGCCTGAGGGTGACCGTCTCCTTAAATTTCCTTAAAATATGCAGTCTAGGGGATCCCCGGGTGGCTCCGCGGTTTAGCACCTGCCTTCAGGCCCAGGGTGTGATCCTGGAGACCTAGGATCGAGTCCCACGTCGGGCTCCCTGCATGGAGCCTGCCTCTCCCTCTGCCTGTGTCTCTGCCTCTCTCTGTGTGTCTCTCATGAATAAATAAATTAAATCTTAAAAAAAAAAATGCAGTCCAGGCTTCCACTCTAGTCCCAGCCCTGCGGCCAGGAAAGGCCCTTCCCATTCAGTCCACATCCTCTCGCTGCTGTGCACCGCTGATTTTCCCCAAACTTTCCACCACTCCTCCCCCGACTCGAACCTTCCCTCCCTAGTCGCCTACTGAATGCTGAGCCTCAGCTCGAGAGCCGCTTCCTCCACGAAGCTCTCCAAGACGACCTCAGCCCCTTGGGGCTTCACCTTACCCACCTCTTCAGGGCCCGCCGGGGCACCGGGCAAACCAAAGATGCCTCCTTAAAGCAAGGGATGTTTCCGGCCTGTACGACGGGATGAAGGCAAAACGGGGGGGGGGGGGAGGAGACTAAAAGGTGGTTCCCTTGCTCCCCCCCTACCCCTCCCGGTCTCAACTTCATAACCATGAACTGGAGAGAAGGGGACGGGAAACGAGTGAGAAAAGCCCTTCTCGCTCCTTCCTTCTCGGGAGACGAGCTTCCCCACGTCGCTCCCGGTTAACACCAAAGCCCCAGTCCTAGTCCGCTCAGGGGGACCCCGCGACCTGGGCCCCGCGGCGCGCAGGAGCGTCGGGGGCCGAGCGCCGCCGCCTCCCCACCCCGTTCTTGGGCCCCTGCCGGGTCTCCCGAGGGGCGACGGTCCTCGAGCCGCGCGGGCAGCGGGGGCGGCCCGGGGAGGGGAAGCGCGGCGGACACGGGGGGCAGCGCAGGGCCGCCCGCGCCGGCCCCACCGCCGCCCACCCCCGCCCCGCCAGCCCCGCCCGCCGCCCGCCCGCGTCACGTGGGGGCCGCGGCCTCGCTCCCCGCGCCGGCGCGCGCCCACCTGGCCTGCAGGAAGGAGGCGCCCGGCTGCGCGCCCGCACCGCCCGCCGCTCCCGGATGCTGCCGCCTCCGCGCCGCTGCCTCCATGGCTGCCCTGCCGGCGGCCGGCGCCTCCGCCCCGCTCTCCAAGTTGGGGGAAGCACTGTGCGGCCGGGCGGCGGCGGCGGCCAGAGCGGACACCCGGCGCGGGGCGGGCCGGCGGGGCGGAGGTGCGGGGGGCGGGGCCTGGGGCGGGGCCGGCGCCGCGGGGCGGGGGGCGGAGCCGAGGGCGGGGGCGGGGCCCGCGGGGTGGTGGGCGGGGCCTGGGGCGGGGCCGGCGCCGCGGGGGGGAGTGGGTGGGGCCTGGGGCGGGGGGCGGGGCCGCGGGGTGGTGGGCGGGGGCGGGGCCTGGGGCGGGGCCGGCGCCGCGGGGAGGTGAGCGGAGCCGGAGAATCGGGGGGCGGGGTCGGCGCCGCGGGGGGTGGGCGGAGCCGGAGAATCGGGGGGCGGGGTCGGCGCCGCGGGGAGGAAGAGGGGCCGCAGGGAGGTGGGCGGAGCCGGGCCAGGGCGGGGCCTGGGGCGGGGCTGGCGCCGCGGGGAGGTGGGCGGAGCCGGGGCGGGGGCGGGGCCTGGCGCGGGGCCGGCGCCGCGGGGAGTGGGCGGGGCCTGGGGCGGGGCTGGCGCCGCGGGAGGTGGGCGGAGCCGGGGGGCGGGGCGGTGCCGTGAGGAGGAAGAGGGGTCGCAGGGAGGTGGGCGGAGGCGGGGCGGGGCCTGGGGCGGGGTTGGCGCCGCGGGGAGGTGGGCGGAGCCGGAGAGGCGGGGCTTGCCGGGCCGGGGGGGAGGGGCGCGAGCGGGGCGGGGTCTCCCGCGGGGAGCGGGGAGCGGGGCACCGGCCTGCGCGCTCCACGCGGGGGGCCCTGTGGGGGGCTGGGCGTTGCTGGGGTCGTCGGCGACCTCCGGGCGGAGGCTTCGCGGAGCTGGCTGAGGCCCAGAGCCCGGCAGATGCTCCCCTGGGGAGGAGGCGACGCTGGATTTCCCTTGTCCTTGGGGAGACGGAGGGGCTGGGGCGAGGGGGCAGTTAAGGTCCTCCCCCCTGCGCTGTGCGCTCTCCTTTTCCAGATGGAAGATGTCGTTTCCTAAAATGTCACCTCCGTGGCTCTTGACGCAAGGAATTAAATAATGAACAGGATAAGAGGATAAGACGTCTTTCCAAGTCGGGGGGGCGTGGAGTAGGTTGATGCATTCGAATTCTGGATTTGTCACTCTCTTGGACGTTGTGGCTTTAGAAAGGTCACTTGCTCTCTCTTCCTCTCAAACGTATTAACTCCCTGCGGTGAGCAGCGCCCTGTGCGGGCAGGAATGGACAGGCCCTGCTCTAGTAAGGCGTACGTTTGGTGCTGGGAAAAGGGCCTTGGTAAAGGGTGTGAAGGGGGAGGTATCCTGCGTGGTGTGAGCAGAGACTTGGAGGGGGTGGGGTCAGACCGGGCTTCTGGAGGCGGGACATCCTACTTGTCACTTTGGATTTCGGAGCTGACCATGAAGTCTGAGCCGCAGTGGAGAGAACACAGTCAGTGTGGAACAGTGTTGCAGGCAGAGGGAACAGCCAGCCAGGAGGCGCAGCCTCCAGAAAGAAACCGGTGTTTGGAGGAAAGGGAAGTTCAGCGAGAGCAGCAGAGTACACACAGGAAGAGCAACAGGAGGTGGCCTGGGGAAGGGTACAGATGAAGAGGGCCTTTATCTTGGGAACAAGAGGAAGCCATTCAAGAGATCTGGGGCACGGAAGTGGCATCATCATGTTCGCATTTTAGCGTGGGGTGGAGGAGAGGAGGCAACACTGGACACCACCAGGCAAAGAATGTGGTGTGTATCTGTCCTAGTGAGGGTCCTGCCCTGCTAGCAGCCACTGTGGGAAGGAGAGAGATGATGACCTCAGTTGTATGGGGGATACCATGGCAGTGCCTTGGGTGTTGGGTGGGGAGAGAAGAGTCCAGGCTTCGGACGGGTTCTGCAGCTGGGTGGATGGCAGAGGTGCCCTCTGGGAAGTGGGTCAGAGCAAGTTTAGGGTAAATGAGAATTCTTCCTTGGATATATGCTTGAGGTGGGTCAGGAAGGCTATTGGGCCCATGGATCTGAAGCTTAGGGCAGACCTGGGAGTAGGGCAGACTGACGTAGGAATCGGGAATATAGATGACTGTCTGAACCTAACAGGCTGCCTGGGGAGACAGTGTCCCTGTGAGAAGAAAGAACAAGGGGCAAAGCCCAAGAACAATCAGCAAGCAGACTGCTGGGTTTCAATCCTGGTACTATTCCTGAATAACTGTGACACTTGGGTAAATTGCTCAACTGCTCCTAGCCTCAGTTTACTCATCTGCAATGAGCTGAAGTCTGTTGCATCTACTGCACTGAGGCTGTGATGATTCCATGAAGTAATGCATATGGAGCACTCTACACAGAGCCTGGCACTGGCGGGTTTGTTCTTTACCGTAGTCTGACCCTGGGCTCTGACCCTGGACCTGATGTTTCCTGCGAGATGTGCGGGGTTTGAGCCTAATTCCATTCTGTTTTCTTGCCTGTCCTCTCTTTTGGGAGACTTTTATTGAGTTTTATTCCTTCCCATTTTGATCAAAGCCCACATCCTATCTTGGCTGTGAGAGGTGACTACCTTGGGGTCATTTTCCATCAGCTCCTTCCTGGGGTCCAGCAACCCACAGGCCACACACCCTGGTGCCCACCCCAGCCCCACTAAAGGGCATGTTGGCTTTATAGTTTTTTACTTTCCTTTGCTCCTCATCATGTCATAAGCAGAGCTGGTGATGTCCCTATTTGCAGCAGAGAAAGTGCCCTGAGCTGATCCCTAAGGTGAGCCAACAACAATGCTCAGACTGGATCCCAGGTTTGATTTGGGAGAGTCTGATCTTCCTTCTACAGATTGCTCTCTATGTATATGCCAGAGAAGAAGGATGGAGGCTTCGGGCTCCGACCCCAATCTCTTATTCTCTGCTGGCTTTGCAAGCCTGCTGGGCTTCAAAGGAAGGGGCATGAAGTGCCTATGATGTAATACCAATTTAATAACACCCAGGGTTGGGCTTCCAGCCATGAGAGGATGAGGCTGTGTGGAGGAAGCTTCTCTGGCCCATTTAATCCTCCAGTCCCTTAAATATCACAAATCTACTTCCATCTGGAACTGGCAGCTGCCCCCCGAGTGGAGGGGAGCCCAGGCTGGCAGCGGGGCCTTCCTGAAAGAACATGATGAACAACCCCTGCACCCCCCTGTCCTCAGCCTTCTAGGATTATCAGTCACTCTTTCCTGTGACTGATCTTTAAGGACCCTTTAAGAACATCATCTTCGTGTGCTCTCAAATTGCACGGACATTTGGGGGCCAGGGGACAGAGCAAAATTGGCATCAACCCTTGGGCACTGGGGAGTATACGTTTCCAGAGATCTTGCTTGCAACTCTCTGGGGACATGGATCCTGCACACAGGAAGGGCAAGTGGTCTCAGCCCTGAGCTGCCATTCTACTGAGCCACATCAAGGAACTTTTCAGCTAGGAAGGTCCTTTGGGATTATCCAGCCCAGTGGCTTCACCTTTTATGTAGCAGATGTTCTCACTCTTTTTCAGCTATAGCCGTGTCAGCTACTTTTCTGATACAGCCATACCTGTCTTCCAGGTGTTTGCCACCTGTTTCATTCCAACATAAGCCAACTGCACCCACTTCCCCTCTGGACTTCTGGCCTCAGAAGTGCAGGGGTGTCAGACACTCTGTGGGGTGGACCTTTGACCAACAAGAGACAGGGATTGGCAGAGAAATCTTTGCTGCTTCTTTCTGGGTGAACTGTCCTAAGCTTCACAGAGCCTATTTTATTTTATTTTATTTATTTTATTTTATTTTATTTTTATTATTTTTTAAGTTAAATTCAATTAATTAACATACAGTGTATTATTAGTTTCAGAGGTAGGGGTCAGTGATTCGCCAGTCTTATATAACACCCTGTGCTCATTACATCATGTGTCCTCATTAATGCCCATCACCCAGTTACCCATCGCCCCACCCTCGTCCCCTCCAGTAACCCTCAGTTTGTTTTCTATGATTAACAATCTGTTATGATTTGTCTCCCTCTTTCACAGAGCCTCTTTAGAGAAGGTCTCACAGGATCTAGCATCGTTGCTGCTCGTGGTGGCCACCTCAGCAAAGCTCTCTGTCCTCCCCGCCTCACCTCCTTTCCCTCGCACTGCACTCCCTCATCAAGCGGCAGCACACACACTCTGCCTCGAGCTCTGCTTTTAGGGAACCTGGGCTAAGGCAGCATCTGGCAAGGATGTTCAGGGTAGAAAGTGGATACAAGTGGGGCCACTCTGGGTGGAGAGAAACTGGGCCCTACATGCCATCCCTTGTCCCTTGATAAGAGTTTCCAGGGTGATGACCCCGGCACCTCAACAGGGCTCCCTGGCAAGCCTTTGATCTCATCTATTTCTATCACTCAGCAGTGGAAGCAACTGAAACCTAAGGTCACACAGCAAGTTAGAAGCAGAGCCAGACCAGAATCCGGTCTCCTCCCTCCTAAGCCAGCACTCTTTCTTTCAAGTCCATTGAAGAACTTCTGAGAATGTTTCTTTTTCCCAACCATCTTCCTGCACAGGCTGCCTGGAGGAAGGCCCTGCTGCACTGCAGCCTCCACCTGGGGGGCCTGACACACAGAGCCTTGAATGCAGAAGCTGGGACCTGGGGAGCGGAGGCAGAGAAAGACGAACTGGGACAGGGGAGAAAGGCCATCCGAAAACACCTGGTCTGGAGGGCTCCTGGGTGGTTCCGTCAGTGAAGAGTCTGCTTTCAGCTCAGGTCATGATCCCAGGGTCCTGGGATGGAGCCCCGCATCGGGCTCCCTGCTCAGCGCAGAGGCTGCTGCT